GTAGCTCTGTCAAAAGCCAGAAGTCACATCGATTATCTATCACACAGGAGAGTCATGTTGGTCTTTCTTAGATTATTTAGTGCTGTTTTACAGCAAACATGCAGACATTGGGATCAAGATCTGTAATTCACAGCTGAACACTGTTTCCTTTTTCAGACAAGTGCAAAAGACAAAAATCAAAATGCCTCATGTGTGTTCTTTCCAAACTGCTCACATTAAACCACCATAAAACTCCATTAATTTCAGCAAGCTAAAAGAAAAGTTTTTGAATTGACAGAAATAGACTGAACTTACATCCAGATAAAGTGAACCTCCATGCTGCTAATGTTCACTGTTTTCAGCCTTGTATGCATGTACTTACCTTAAACTGGCAATAGTATCCATTTATCTGGAATGCTCATACACTTGAATGAATCATATCCACATCAACATGCATTGTTTTTTTCCCCTGAAATCCCATTATTACATCCAATTACCAGTCAATTTACACTTGTTACTTTGATTGATCACTGAATCAGAAGACTGAAGCCAAGCAAGTGATTAATTCAGTATTTTTATTATGAATCAATTTTTAAATCTGAATTTTTCATTTACCCAAAATGCATTCAGTTTCTGCATTTATAATCTAAAAAACATTCCTTTACTCAAACAATCTGGATTTTGCACTAATAAAAAGACTGAATGCAGCATTACTTTCAGGATTTGCAGCATCTATATTTTGAAGTGAAATGTGGGGCACATTTTAGAACATCAATAAATTTCTGTCAAACACAAATACAGATTTGGAATAGCTTTGGGACAAATCCTGAAACAATCTTATACTTTGAACTCCCGATGCAAAAGTGGTTGCAGCTGTTTTTAGGTTATGTTAGGTTCAGTACACTAACGTTAAGAAAATGTAAATAATTTAGAAATAGTTGAACACAAATACTGCAAGCCTGATTTTAAAAAATTATGTACTAATCTGTTAGACAGTCTATCTTTCAATCATATGCTAGTTTCTTCTTCAATTCACATGCTAGACTGGATGCCATTGTCACTGTTTGGGGCTAAAAGTACAGGTAGTCAGGTTATACATGTTCACAATTTTCCCTTAAGATGTTTCTCCTGGCTGGTGTCTTTCTGGCTACTGTATCAATGTCACCAAAGATAGCTGACCCAACAGTGTCATCCCAGTACGTTCTCATCAGTTAGAACTTTCAGCTGCTGCACAAATACTGTGATACTTAACTAACAGCTTGCCTCCTTAATGTTGGACTCCGATCCAAGCTCCGACTGTTGATTTAAAACTTGAAAACATTCTTACATGATAAACAAGGAGAGGTACTTTAAAATCAACACTAGGAGCCGGAAATCGAGACAGAAACAATATCTTTGTTCCTTCAGCACTAAGTGTTGAGAGAAGTACAGAAGCTAGGAATCCATTGGTTGAAATGAGAATTGTAGAATCATAGAATTCCTACACAGTGTGGAAGGAGGCCATTCAGCCCATCAAGTCCACACCAACCTTCCAAACAGCATCCCACCCAGACCGACCTCCCTACCCTATCCTTGTGACCCTGCATTTCCCATGGCTAATCCACCTGGCCTGCAGATCCCTGGACACTATGGGCAATTTAGTATGGCCAATCCACCTAGCATGCACAGCTTTTGAAAGAAAACAAATAAAAATTCTCAACACAAATGACATTCAGGTAAGAATTTTGTTGTATGTAAGAACTGTAATGTTGATCCTTGCTCTTCACAAGTCAAGGATTTTTTTTGTTTTTACAATTGCAAAATGGCATTTTTATTATCAAATGTTTCCTATTTCGTCATTTATGGATTTTAAGTTCAGAGTTCTATGTGGGCTGCAACTTAGACAAAAATGGCCCATCTACCCGTTACGCTGACGAAACAAGGCCAACTCCATCTCTACTTTGATAGATCTTAACCATGCATGCAGAGCTGTCATGTTGGTCTCCATTCTATAATGCAAACTGGAATAAGGATGAATCTCAAACCTTGTGCATCATTGGGCCAGTGATCACCCCACCTGGATGAGAGACAGCCCAACAGCATACCAACCCCGCATCATGAGACCAAATTCTAATCCCTACTCTCCAAGACAGGAGTGGAGATAGAACATTTTGTCTTCTGATTCAGAAGCAGAATGCTATCAAAGGTTCGGTTCTCCTAATGCTTTATGTCCTCCAAAACCTTGTAAACTCTGGCCTTGTATGTGCATCCACTATTGGTCCAAGTTTCAGCTACTCAGTCACATCCTGTAAAACACCCTCCCTAAAAGCCCTGCCTCTCTTTTCCACAAACTTTAAAAACCTGTCTTGAAACTTTTTCGACCAAACTTCCAGATAATTTGAATTATTCCTTCATGGCAGCCTTCCATGACTTATAAGGTCTTCTTCATTTGTTTTCTCCCCCTCCTGTAAAATACCCTGTAATTTTCAGGGTAAGGAGATTATAATTTAATGCAAATTATTTGTTATTCAACAGCATTAACCAACAACCAACCTTGATATCCTGGACAATAGGTGAATAAAAGTACCATCTCAAAACACAGCTTTGCTTAGGGACTGAATATGAACCATTCTTTCTTAACTGAATTAGATAAATTTAGCATAACCTCATTTTATAACAAATACAGCTGTGCATTCACAAATGGCTTTCACAATGAACTTGTGACCAAACCAATTTTTATTAAAATATCACCAAACAACAGCTCTTCTCTTCACAATGCATTGTTAACACATGTTAAAGGCAGTTGCTGAATATTATTAAGTTCTAAATGTATGGTTGTAAAGGATTTAAAATTAAATTCTTAAACTCTGCATTTCCTGAATCATAATTAAAACCTCAGGTGCTACCTTGTTACAGATCAATATGATATTCTCAATCACATGAAATGAATAAATATAACACACTGCATTTGGTGCAGATATCTCTGCTAATCACAATTTTCTACATACTAAATTCATTTCTAAACTTTACAGCCTGGTAAAATCCACTGACAGTGCAAAACTAGATTTAAAACCAGTTATCTCTCTCTCTCTCTCACTCACACACACACAGACACATGACTGAAGTATGATCCAATGCACAAAAATATTTCAGCCTCAATTCTTCTCTCAGCAAAAGACCGCTGAAAATGTATTTTCTGCATAACTAGCATAATTGCGCAGATAAAATCATAGACTTTGAAATGAGATTACAAAAAATGCAATTTTGTTCATGTAATAATGTAAAAAAAAGCATTATCCCAATTTCCATTTGATGACAAACTTCACCCCTTTTAAAAAGCTCAATAAGAATTTCCATAATATTATTGTTTGCATGGACTGCTTTGATAAATATCAATAATAACTGCATGTAAAACTTAAATATCACTATTTCAATTAATTTCACTTGTACCACATTTTCTCATTCTGGTTTAGGATTTGTCCATCAACTGCAAATAGTTTTCTCCAAATCTTAAACTCCTTGACATGAAAGTTGGACGAACCAACAAGCAGGAAGTGTACTCAAATAAAACAAAGCAGCCTGGAGTTGGAGATTCAGATTGCCCAAACTTGAAAACCACATGGAATTTAGATATCGTTGATTCATCACTACTTTCAAACATATAACTGAATACATTTATACAGCTAGACTAAAATTTTCAAAAAGACTTAATATGAGTAAATAAATTTCCAGCTATGACAGAGATGGACAGATCAGAAATGTTCATGGCTAACAGATTGATCTCAACTGGAACATTAATGAAACCATTATAATTGTGTGCAACGTCCCTGCACTGGAAGAGGCAAAAACTTCAAGGTTTGCATTTTCCATCAGTAGCCTGTGATGGCTACAGCAAAACACATGACTGTTGATACAGTAAACACAGAATGGGCCTGACAGCAGTAGCAACGACAGAAAAATAGCCTGCGAACACATGGATACATGGCCACTTGTGAAATAAAAGAACAACAGATCACAAACAGCTGTGCCTTGTACAAGTTATACCTTCGAAAGAGGGAAGATACAAGGAGGAAAACTATGAATCTTGTGTAGGTCTTCAGATGTAAACACAGGCCTCAGTAAGGCAATGCAGTGGAATAATGCACAAATAATACTTTACATGTGCAAAAAAAAAGTGCTGTCAGTCCCAATGACAGTCCAACCGAAAAGCTTTGCTAGAAAATGACGCAAGTAGAGATGAAGCTGCCAAAAACTTGACATATTGTTCTTCAGCCAGTGGCATAAAATGCACACAAACGGTCACCATGGAAAAACTCCCATTCTAATTTTTCTTTTTCCAGGTATACAAATAGTTGTTTGGTATTACAGAACTTATGTTTTCCTCTCAGAAGCTGCTGTGTCTCTAGAAGTCTCTTCCCCAGAGAGATGCAGAGGCAGGGTCAGTGAATATTTTTAAGGTGGATATAGACAAGAGGTAGCTGGACAGGTTTACGGTACATGCACCCACCACTTAAACCTATTTAGCAGTAACATCAAAGATTAAAAATCAATTTGATTAGTAGAGGAGGTATATGGCCAGTTAATCCTTTCAAATTATTATCCAAAATCGGTTAACATTGAAATTGTGTGAATACAAAAATGGATTAATTTTATCAAATTTAAATAAATGCATGAAATACTTCCAGAAAAACAAATGAAATTGCATTGAACAAGGTATTAACAACTAACTACAAATGCAGTTATTTTAAAATTTACTGCAGCTAACATTGCACCTTAGGCTTGAAATATTGAAAGTGAAGCACTTCAATTTGTAGACCTGATTTCCTCCATGGGCCTCTTTGTTTTATCGCACAGGTTACTTTAGCAGACAGAAATTAGTGTTAAAATATTAAGACATGGAAATAATGCTATTGCCATAAAAGATGTTAGTCTTCCAATAGAATAAATTAAGGAATTAGAACAATCAAACATTATCTACTGTTTTGATTAGTTTCTATAGAGCCTGATATAAATTAACCAATATATGAATATAATTTTCTTACCACATTGGGCCGTTTGACCAGATTCTCAAGTTTCGTATGACTGAATTCCAGGCTGATGACATTATAGAGCTTCTCTCTTTCCATTTCTGGTGTTTCATAGTATTTAACCCATTGTGACATACTCATCTCAATTCCTTTCTGGGTACTCACATCCATGACATCCACAACACGGCGACTCCCTAAAATCACACACAAAATGTAAAACAGTTCTTGTCAGCTTCACTTCACGGTCTAATTTTTTACACACCCGCATATACGGAATATGGTAAAATGTAATATTGTGTAAACATACAGAATAAATGTATTAACTGGTAACACCAACATGAGGAAAGATGGTGGCATCGTGATAATGTCATTGGACAAACGAACCACAGGTCCAAGCAAATGGTTTGGGGACACAGATTTACAGCAGGTGAGGAAATTTAAATTCAATTAATAAATCTGGAACCAAAGACAAGTCATCAGTGATGGATACCATAAATCTACCATTGATTGTTGTAGAAACCCATCTAAGTCATTACTGTCCTTTAAGGAAGAAAATCTGCCATCCTTACCTGGTCTGGGCTACATATGGTTTAATGGGATCCACTCTCAACTATCCTCTGAGATGGCCTTGCAAGCCACTCAGTTCAAGGACAATTAAGGATGGGAAACAAATGCTAACCCTACCTGCAATTTATTTAAAAGAAATTAAGTTTCTTACTCTCTTCCTCTTCATACCACTGATCCACAGTCCAAAAATAGCAGTCATCTTCAGGCACATTGCCTAAATAGCCACTTACAAGGTTTGATAGAAAGTGTTGTTACAATATTCGATTCATGGTGGGGACATCAAAGCCAAATTCAATCTTATCTTCACCCAATTTCTTCACAAACATTGCTGAACAGAAATCAAGAGATTGGAACCCTGGGTGATTTCTGTCTGTCTAATCCCAATCACTACCGTGCTCAAGATTAACACACCAGTTGATCAAACTTGAACAATCTTAATTATTAAGTCAAGAAGCAAATGAGTTGTCAAGCTAATGCCAGGAAAGCAGAGTGTGGCCTTACTTGTGCAAATTGTTTGGCATTCCCTAAAAACTGAGTTAAAACATTGCAGAAAGAACAATAGTCTGTCACCTTCAATTTGCATCATTATATTAAGTATGATCTGTAAAGTATAAAGCAGCAAAATAGTTAATATTTGCTTAATATAACGGTTTATTTTTCGTAAGGAAGTGAATATATTTTTGTATTGGCCTCTAGATCAATGAGCCAAGTTTCTTTATTCATTTACTGTATTAAACATATCAAAAAATACATGATCCACGCAGAGATATTTGTTGATCAAAACAATGTATTTTCACTAATTAGGTATAATTTTACCCATTTAACATTTAATTTGACAACTGTATTTCAGAGAAAACAATGATAGCAGTATTGAGTATTTTTACTGAGGTTTGAAATGACTTGCCATTAAGCCATATTTCCACAATTGCTATTTATAACAGAGATTTAAATGAAGAAATAAAATCTTGAACATGTTGAACATTAGTCATCTGGGTTCAACAGTAAAGAAAGCATTTATCTTGAAATTGCCAAATCTTGGGAAAAGCAGAAATCCACAGGGTACAACTACCACACCTTATAAAATCAAATTTTAATAATGAGCCAATTTGGTTTTATAACGAATTCTAGTTACAACAATTCTTCACAGCCCTTTAATTATCCATTTAAAGACACAATTTTATGAACAAGGCATTCCCTCCTTGTAGTTGATAAAATTGCAGGAACATTCACGTAACTTGTTTTTTTTATATAGCCTTACAGAATTACAACTGTGATCTTGACTTTTCAGGAGAGAATAGCTATTGCCAAGGTCAATGCAATTCACCCAATTAAACAGTCTGATGTTATTCTCTCCAACTACGAAATGACAAATAATTACTCCTATGATACAAAAATTCAGACTGCAGAGGATGGGCAAAATTGCAGCTACAAATGAAAGTTTACAATAAAATGTTTAAAGCAGTATCTACAGAGGAAGGAGATAATTTATCGTTTATGGTGTGGATTCTTGATCAAAATATTAACTGGTTTGCTCTGTATTTGCAGCATTTTATACTTTGATTTTGATCATGGATAGATTATTATTTTTCACTCATAACAGTAAATAACTTGAATTCATTATGACTGTCCTGATACGAAACAGACATCTGTTACAGTTCAGGAGAGAAGCTCTTGGAATGCCAACTGAATAGGTGATATGCTCTTCAAACTTGGATACAGAGACAGAGATATAGTCAGGAAAATACAAAGCGAGACAGTATAAAATGTACAGTGGGGGACAAAGACATACGCAGCCAAACAGTAAACAAAATTGGCTTGATGGTAGGAAACACAGGGTTATCCAAGATTACAAAGGGATTTTGATCAATTCAGTCAATGGGCAGAGGAGTGACAGATGGAGTTTAGTTTGGATAAACGTGAGGTCCTGCATTTTGGTAAAAACAAACAAGGGCAGGACTTATACAATTAATGGTAGGGCCCTGGGGAGTGTATTCAGAGAGACCTAGGGGTTCAGGTACATAGTTCATTGAACGTTGCATGACAGGTAGACAGGGTAGTTAAGGCGGTGTTTAGCACGCTTGGCTTCATTGCTCAGACCATTGGGTATGGGAGTCAGGACATCACAGTTCTGGCATAGCAAGGATATTATTAAACTGGAATGGGTTCAAAAAAGATTTACCAGGATTTTGCCGGGGTTGGAGGGTTTGAGCTGTAAGGAGAGTTTGGAGAGGCTGGGATTTTTTTTCAGTGGAGCATAGGAGGTTGAAGGGTGACCTTATAGAGGTTTATAAAATCATGAGGAGCATAGCTAAGGCGAATAGCAAAGGTCTTTTCCCTAGGGTAGGGGGAGTTCAACACTAGGAGATGTATTTTTAAGGTAAGAGGAAAAAGATTTAAAAGGGACAACTTCTTTACACATTGGATTGTTCATATGTGCAATGAATCACAGTATCCCAACAGCATAGAACGAGAGTATTCGACCCATCAAGTCTGCACCGAACGTCTGAAGAGCATCCCACCCAGACTCAGCCCTATCCCCTTAACCCGACATTTATCATGGCTAATCCACATAACCTGAACATCCCTGGACACTACCGGACAGTTTCAGTATGGCCAATCCACCTAATCTACACATCTTTGGACTGTGGGAGAAAACCAGAGCACCCGGAGGAAACCCATGGGGAGACACAGGGAGAATGTGCAAACTCCACACGGACTGGAATTAAACTTGGGTCCCTGATGCTGTGAGGCAGCTGTGCTAACCACTGGGCCATAGTGCCGCCCATGAACTGCCAAAGGAAGAGGTAGATGCAGGTACAATTACATCATTTAAAAGACTTTTAGACAGGTACATGAATAAGACAGGTATAGAGGGATGTGGGCCAAACACAGGTAAATGGGACTAGGTCAGATTGGGAAACTTGGGCAGCATGGACAAGTTGGACTGGAGGATCTGTTGCTGAGCTGTATGACTCTAAGCATGTGTCAAGAGAGCACTTTACAACATGAAAAAAACTGTAGTCCACAATTTCAAGCTGTGGAAAAACATATCAGTGAGAAAACAGCTCTCTGTCCAGCTGTACTGGAATTAAACTATTGCCATTTACTACACAAGTTTTCTTTTACTTTCTTTGTGGGATTACAGTCATTTTGTTTACAATTAATTTGATTTCAAAATGGAGAATGGAAGGTTAATTACATCTGCTGTACTTAAAGCCAAGTATTTAAAAATTACACAAGAAAGCACCACTTATAGCTTGAAGAACAAATAAGATAGCTGGGTCTGTTCACTTATGGTGGTTAGCAAGGGAATAACATTCTAATTCAATAAGCTGCCAGTTGTGCTCCACACCAAAGAATATTCCATTTTAATAATAGTGGCATTCTGTTTATGCTAATTCAGTTACTTAAGAGCTCATCTAATGTGGTTCTCTTTTGTAATTGAGGCTCAAATTTCAAACTTATTTTAAAATGGAAACCATAATCAGTGACACATCAGTTACAACTGCAAGTAACAAAGGATATATTGTAGTTTTACAAGTGACCACAAGAGGTCAATGAACAACTGGGAATTTTGCTCTCGCATAAGTCAGCAATGAAAGCTATCACCAAATGCTCTTCAATACAATCAAATAATTCAGAATATCAGGCTTGTAGATTTTTATTTTTAACTAGTCTATTCCTATTCCATTTTTATTATTATTGCCAGGCTTTGTTTTCTCAAACACCTCAGAAATTGAAGGTGACAAACGTATTTCCCGGCTCCAGTGTATTCTGGCACAGGCAGCATTAAAATTGAGTTGTTAAAGGAAGAGATATTCAATTACTGTTATAACCTCATCCCGTGTGGTTACTGCACACTTCTGCCTTACTTGTCAAATGGAAAACTCTAGATTTCTAAGCTAAAAGACCTCGATAACTGGGACTTCTCAGGATTTTGACACATCATTTTGAAAAAGAAAACCCTACAGAGTTACAGCAGAAAAGGAGATCATCTGGCCAAAGACATCACTACTAGTTCTTTATGCAAACAATTCAAAACTATTTCAGATTTCAACTCTCTCTTCATAGCCTTGGATGGCCAAGCTTCAAATATATATTAAAATACCCATAAAATATGCAGTGGTCTCTGCCTCAACTATTCTTAATGGCAAGCAATCAACAGATTTTCTCAATGCGATCTCAAAAATCATGCCAAAGCATATAATTGACCCCATTATGAAACTACTTTCCGTCTATTTTTAATACGTTCAATACCCAAACATCAGGGACATAAGGAGACAGTGAATCATTGTTCTCTCCTGGGCAGAGGAAGTGTATGGCCCAGAGGGATGTACAAATGTGTGCATCCTTACAGGATTGGACTCGCACTAAAACTTTTTTTTAAAATACAGTCAGTTGAATACAACTACCCTATGATCCCTGGTACAGGCCTTGCACAGCTGACAGTCACCCTACATTGCAATCAGAGGTACCATTCCCCTCTATGGCAGGTATTATGGCAGCCCCAAAGCAGTGAGGCAAAAAATGTTTTTAAAAAAAATCCAGTTTTACTCATGTACAAATACTCTTCTTACCAAGACTAAAAGCAGGACACAAATAAGCACACTGCATACAGAATAAACTG